GTGTATGGCTCTCCTTCCACCTCCTCATTTCGTCTTTGCCAAATCTTATACGCTGATTTCAAAGAATATTGACCATTCTTCTCAAAATTCCATACTAGTTCATAGGGGTGATAAACGGTTAGTCGGTTAGTGGTTAACCGATAACCGCTACTTCCTTATTGGTTTCGGTTTCGGTTAGTAGTATTTTGGTTAGTGGTTAACCGCTAACCGATTAAGCGGTTAACCGATAAGAAAACCGATAACCGCCTACTAGTGTGACTACATGGTTTTTTACTTTGGCTAAGGGAAAAATTTGTAAGATTCAAAACCAATCAAAGTTGCAATTCCAAACATCCCAATTCTCACCTATTGCAAACAACCCTCCATCAAGAGTCTCAAATGTTTTTAAGAGTTAGAACTCGAAAGTCACCCCTCTCTAAATCCCCTTTGCACTCGATAGAGTGAACCTTAGGTTGATGACTATGGGCTAGATGAAGATCTTGGAGTAAATGATGACTATGGGCTAGATGAATTGGAGCGAGATCCTCGGATCATTTAGGTTGATGATTTGGAGATAATGAACTAGTTATTTGTGTCTTGTTGTGATTGTTACTTGTGGTTGAATTGTGGGCATGTAGACTTTATGTTGTGGAGTTGTGGTTGAATTGTATGGTTGCTTTAGGCTTTATGTTCAATTGATTTAGATGACTTTATGGTGTGTGATTATAGAGGCTGAAACAAAAGCAGGTCACTCAAAATTGAGGGTGAATCATTAAAAAGGTGGTTGAAATTCGGTTTTGGGTGGTCGGTTTCTGAATGAAAACTGAGAAACTGAACCAGAACCTGCGGTTTCGGTTAACCGTAAGGGAAAACCAAAACCGATGTTTGCGGTTTTCGGTTAACCGAAGTCTCTGTCGGTTTCAGTTAGTGATCTTGGGACAATTTTGGTTGCGGTTAACCGATATTTCGGTGCGGTTAAACCGAAACCGCACCGACTAACACCCCTACTAGTAGTTCGTCTTCAACGGGTTGTATAGGGATTGAAATTTTCAAGATATTAACTTTGTCTTCTAGTATAAAGTGTGTTTGCAATATATCCTGTCTCCACAACCTAGCTTCGTGGTCCATCAACTCAGCTGCAGAAGTAGAATTGCCAAACACAACCATAGGAGATTTAACCTTATAGTTGTCATTGTTTGGTACCCATTTGTCCATCCAAATATTAATTTGGAACCATCTCCAATCTTCCAGCGCATATATCTCTTATGTAGGTTCTTTGATGCCATTAGACCTCTCTAGTCATAGGTCGGGTTGTTTCCTAGTTCAGCTTCCATAATTACTCTATCTTGGTGGTACTTTGCCTTCATTACTTTTGCCACTTGGCTATTAGGATTTTCAATCAGTCGCCAAAGCTGCTTTCCCAGTAAGGCCAGATTAAAACTGCTTGGATTTCGGAATCCTAGTCCATCTTGGTGCTTTGGTCAACACAATTTATCCCAACTCAACCAATGAGTCCTCTTCTCGTCTTGTTGTTGCCCCCAACAAAATTTAGATACAACACTTCGGATTTCCTGTAGAATACCAATGGGAATCTGGAAAACTGACATAGCATAAGTCAGTTGTGCTTGAGCCACATATTTTATTAATACTTCCTTCCCGGATTTCTTATAATAAGGAACACCAGTCAGCTCCAAAATCAAACTACAACAAGACCAAACTGTATTTAGAAAAGAAATCACAACTTAAATCAATCCAAACTTTACCGACCTCATTTACATTATCAGGCTCAGCTCTTCCTTTCAGCTTTGTTTTATTTTCAATCCATTTAACTACTTATTTCAAGCACATTTACTCTACTAACTAATTACTCATAATAACCTATTACTATCTCTACTGTTACGTTAAGCTAAGCTAATTACTTAATATGCTATTCACTCTCTTTTATTTTACAATTCCTTTATTTATGTCATATTTCGCTCCATTTATTTTCTAGAACTAGAATATAGATGAGATCATCAAAAACAGATTCGTCATTTTTCCTAAATACCCAAAAAGCAAATCCATTTCAACAAAGCTATATTAATCGAAAAACACTAGTATGTTAACCGAAAGGCCAAATTTAGAATGGATTCTGAGTTTCAAAACCATCGATTTTTATTAGAACCCACCAAATAAACCTCCAAATCCAGTTTACGACAAACAAACATTCATTCCTAAAACTCAGATCTGTAAATCGTTTTCAAACCTACATCATAATCCATTTTTTTAGTGTTTCTCCCAAACCACTTCGAGCAGAGTTTAGGGAACCTCACCTAATCAATATCGTCTTAAGACCTGCTTCAAAGCAGAAATAGAGGTCAGAGTCGATTAAGAGTTAATAAACCAAAAATAAAAATTACCGAGACAAGAAAACTCACCTGCCACCGTCAATCACCGTCGACGGAGCTTTGACTCCGGGGATCTAAGCAGCCAAACTTCTCCTCTTTCTCCCCTCGATCGTGGCCAAATCAGGCGACCCCCAGAAACCCAAAAATCAAAACAAGAAGAAGGTTAGAACTTTGAGCCATTCCAAAAAAAAAAAAAAACAAGAAAATCGAACATGCATAAACCATCATTCCCCACTTACCGTCAATTTGGAGGCTGATCGGCGATCCGATGGCGCGTTTTAGGCCGGGTTCTCACCCGATTCTGATGTGGAATGAGATATGCGGGATTATCCTTGTTCTGTCTCTCAGAAAGAAGAAGAAAGTTAATTGATGGAGGTTTCGGATTTTACAAGGGAAAATGGAAAGGAAAGGGACGATATTTCGGAGGTTTCCTCTTTTGTTTCGTTTCGTTTCACAGAAAAAACGAGAGGGCGTGGTAGAGAGAGAGAGGGGGGCGGTCGTTCGCCCAGCTGCTAGGTTAGATTAGGGTTTTCATTTTTGTGGTTTCGAACCAACGACCTTCATCTAATTCCTCACCACTACTCGCCACAACAAACCACTGAGCTACATCATAATTCTCGAATCTTTTAGGCCCCTCGTATAGTTTTATTCCTTATCATGCTTAATACGTAATTAATTAAACATATAGAAATTTTGATCTAGTTAGATCGTCATTGTTTTCATATCGTCAAAATCTTCTAAATATCTTTTTCACTACGTCATTATGCATTTGTATATTTTTTTTCCTAAAGATCCAATAAAATGAAATCAGGGTTAATAGTGCATAATAATTTTTTATGGTGGAATCTTTTCATAATCATTAATCAATTGATTCCAACTAACCATAACTTCTCATTTTTCGAGATATATGTCAATAGACGTAAAATCTCACCGTGTATACGAAATTCAAATTATCTTAACTAGTCCGATTGGACTTTAAGTTAAATCATTAACAATTTAAACAACCAACACTTTAAAACTTATCGATTTAAGTAGTACCGATTTTGGGGCGTTGTGGGGTGTGAATACACTTCCCCACACGTAACCGTACTTCTGAACCCAAATCTGTACAATTCCGTAGACCAAGTCCCGGTTTCGATCCTAAGGTCGAGTCCGGGCCAAAATGGTGTTCGATCCACCACATTTAAGGTCGATGGCGACTCCGAGCAAATTCGCGAGCGATCCCGATTTCGAGGTGCGGTTGCGACAAGGCTGGTGTGAGATTCGTTCGCATAGTGGAGCCCGATTGGAAGAAGAGGAAGCGAAAGAAACGAAGAAGTCAACACCCGAATTGCATGGTTACGGCGGAAGGAGAGGTCAAAGCGGTCAACCTTGAGGGCAAGGTTGGTCTCAAGGGGGAGGAGATGATAGAAACCCGATTTTTCGTGATTCTATCATAATTATTATAATTACTATTATTAGGATATTTACAAATAAGGATAGTAGTCTTTTAGACTTTAGTAGAATTAGTTTTATTATTAGGTTTTCCTATCTTTCCTATAAATATGTAATCTGGGTTTCATTATCAATCAAGCAATAACAATTATTCAGAATAGTATCTCAAACCCTAATCTCTCTCAATTTCGTCACCTATCCCTAGGCCGTCGGCCATTCTTCTACTCGATCCCCAATTTCCTCTTCTAAATCCCTAATCCTCAATTCTGTTCTTCCCCAATTCCATCTAAATCCCTAAATTCCTATCAATTCCCAATCTCATCAATCCGACCGTTAGAACCCTAGAATTAGGTTTCTATCATCACTCAATTGCATTTTTAGTAATTATTTTGTTGAGTTACCCTCACTATCATTGATAGATTACTATTTGATCCATATGTTTTTTATGTGAACAAATATTCTTGGTGGGGCGGGTATGGGTATGAGGCAGGAGGCTAAAACCATACCCACCTCATACCCATCAAACATTTTGCAAGTTTTACCCATATCCACCCCATACCCAGTCAAAGCGGGAATTCTCAGTGTCAACTGGGTTAGTGACGGTCGGATACTCATGGGCATGAGTTTGATTGCCATCTCGACTTTTAAGGGTGAAAAATTTTGGCCCTGCGGAGAATATCCTTGCTGCACGGAAGAGCAAAGTTGATGAAAGAGGTACAGTAGAGGACCTTGTCTGTTCAAACTTCAAAATAATACCACATGGGTTCGTTGAAATCACATAATAGAATGACCAAAAATGTCATTGAACATTTCAAATACAGGCATTCAAATAATATACACATCCAAGGGTAAATGCCACATTTGCTCACTGAGATTATTAAATTGTGTCATGTTTGGTCACTAGAAAAATTTAAAGTCAATTTTGGTCACTCGAATTACTGAAACAGGTCACATTTAGTCACTCTTCCGTTGGTTTCCGTCCAACTCGATTAATAGAGTTGGACGGAAACTAATGGGAGAGTGACTAAATGTGACATGTTTCAGAATTTGAGTGACCGGAGTTGAACGGAGGCTAACAGGAGAGTGACTAAATGTGACATGTTTAAGTAATTCGAGTGACCAAAATTGATATTAAATTTTTCTAGTGACTAAACATGACACAATTTAGTAATCTCGGTGACCAAATATGACATTTACCCACACATCCAAATAATCCAACTTCCAATAGAACCTAAAATTGTCCAAGAAAAGAGCAGAATGTTCGTTGAAATCACATAATAGAATGACCAAAAATGTCATTGAACATTTCAAATACAGGCATTCAAATAATATACACATCCAAATAATCCAACTTCCAATAGAACCTAAAATTGTCCAAGAAAAGAGCAGAATCTTAAGCTGCATGTCCAACAATAGCATACCATCCATATCCTTTCGTCCATGAAAACCAAAGACAAAATTACTTCATATGAAATTAAATTCAAGAACATTGGAGGATACCAAGACTACAGTTCCTAAACATTGAAAATCTAAGTCCAGGATGAAGACGGTGCTGAGCATACGGATTTAGACTGCACCAGAGATTGAGCAAACTAGCTATGCACCATCTGGCTGGACGAAAGGGTTAGCAATCTCATCAGTACCGTCGGTGGGTGATACCAGCATTACAGCAGTTCCTCTGCACACCTACCATCCGCAAACGCCATCAAGGTTAGTAACATCATTCAAAGCCAAATCAAAATAGGGAGGAATACTGGATGAAAGCTTTTAGGATCAGACTGGGATGTCATAAAGGGAAGTATAATAAAAGCTGCATACAATTAGTCCAAGTTGCCTAGTTTGGTCAGTGGTCTTCATTGGGTCCTCAGGGTCTGCAAATAAATGTTCAAATAGTCAGGGACTTTGCTCCAAAAGAAGAGAAAATTGATAGCATCAATGTACATGGATGACGATTGAATAGAACACTCACCGCTTCAGTTCCCTGAAACCTCAATTATACAGTAAACAAGAGCATTTTACTAACAAATGGAAACTTCAGACTCAAATCACTAGACATTTATCGCAGATAAAGACAATGATTGTGTAATTAAAAGGTTTGCTATGCTCTGACATTATAAACTTCATTGATCAATACAGAACATGAATGCAGATGGATATTTACTCCTATGCATCTTTGAAACAAGTTAATGAAATGGGAGTAAGAGATTTTCTAGCATCATGTGCTTTCCACCTTTATCATCCTTCGCTATTTCATGAACAGGAGTAAGCTTTTCTGGCATTATGTGTTGTCTGTATCTACTATTGTGCATCAAGCATATATGATGTTTCAAAAAAGATGAAAGTGCTGAACATTAATATGAATCATAGAGACAGATGAAAAAGATTCCAAAAATCGTCAATCCCTTATGGTACTTTCACCATACTATCATTTTTCTTGGTTTTCATCAGACACCATAATGTTGATGCGGGAACAAGACAACAATGTTCTGGCCAGGTAACCTAGAAAATCCATCAGAAACATAAGGAAAAGATTCAGAGATAGTACATAAGAAACCGGAAAGGGATTACCTCGTAAGAACTCTCGAGCTTCATCCAGCACGAGATTTAACAACTGATCATAGCCTTTTAGTGTCCCAGTAACTGAGCCAGAGAGCAACAAATCAGTAAAGCGTATACATCTACCAAGGATGCAAACTGATCTCTTGCGAGATCGTCTCTTCAAAGCCAACGGATTCATGTTGTACAATTGAGCAGATGACAAATAAAAGTCAATATGCATGACAAAAGTACTTTCTTTCTGAGTAAGATGTTTCTTTTTATCAGTCTGTGTCATATGTGGATCATGAGAACATTAGCTACACAAAAACTCCAGATTTGCTAAAAGCGTCAATATGTATGATGGTTTACTGTCTTTCTTTCTTTTTTCGGATAAATCTCTGTGTCAGATGTAAAGCATGAAAGGCATTGGTACAAAAGCTCCAGAGTCGCCCATGAAAGTACCTTGTCTGCCACCAGTGAGCTTGACTTGAACACCTTTGTCCACAAACTTTGCCAAATCCAAGACCGTTTCTTTCCTTCCGGACTGGAGAAAATGTGACACAATTAGACAACAGAAAGAAGAAGGAAAAAAAACACATCATTTTTTTCCTTTCAAGCAAGAGCATTACCATCTTGACCGAGTTTGTTACTGTTCCTCTCTATATAAAATCTATCAATCTTCAAACTGTGGACAAAAGAGAACAAGGATCATAGTGGGAAGCACGGACATAGAGCATACAAGTAAGAAAATGAAAGCTGGGCATGAAACTCATTGAGAAAATTACATAAGCACAATCAGAAATCCAAGTTTTTCGATTAACGAGGTTCAGTGTGCCATAGAAGAGTGAAGAATGTAATTTTGAAGGAAAATTTGCGTTCTTGCAGTTGATGATCACAATTTGTGATGCCTTCTCACACAAATTAGAGAAGAGACTTGCGAACCACCGGCTCATAAACGAAAGGGAGAAAAAAAAAATCAGCCTTACCCAACGCAAAACAGCATAACATGAAACCCTAAATAAAACCCTCTAGGATAGTTCAAGCCACAAGACGAAGCTAGGTAGCGGCGGCCGAAAAAAAGAACTAAAACTATGAAATGGAGAAGGAGAAGGAGAATCGTGTAACTGAAGAACAGGGAGTACCGTGCGCCGTCGAAGAGCTACTTCGGACGTCCGGCGGAGCAGCCTATCGACGAACAGGCAGACAAGGAAGCACCAGCAAGCGAGAGAATCGGGTGAAAGTCGAGGAAATAAGAAGTTAAAAAACTAAAAAGGAAAAACACCGGCGCGAACGATTGGGGTATTTTGTTTGGGCCCTTGTACTTTTGCTGGCCCAAAATATAGCTGGCAAGCATTTGGGAAAGCCCAGCTAAAGAATAGGGAGTCCAGACTAAATTGAGTAGGCCCTTCTTATCAACCTGGTAGTAGGTAGTGGCCAATAGGGACGGCAATGGGTCGGGTTGGGTCGGGTTTTGCCAAACCCAAACCCAAACCCATGGGTTTATCTTTGAAAAAAACCCGGGGTTAAACCCACTGGGTTTGAAAAACTCAAACCCAACCCAACCCGTTGGGTATCCGCGGGTTCATGGGTACCCACGGGTTTTGTCGTAAAAAATTTACAATTACAAGTTCTTATCAAAATTAAAGTCAAATATCAATCTCTCAATACAAATTATCCATATATAAAACACCATTCTAGAAAATTCAAGCAAATCACAAATTAACTATACAAATTGTTCAACACCAATCTAGAAAACTCAAAAAAATTGAAGCAAATCACAAATTTTCCATAAATAACATGTTTACTTGAAAGCTTCTTCCTTTCAATTAAGTTTCTTTACTCTCCACTCCATAACATCAACTTGATTCTACACAATTAAAAAGAAAAAATTAGACATGTCTCCACAAACATAAATAAGATTAGTTGTTTAGAATATTAAATATACCGAAAAAATTAATTATATGGGTGGGCGGGTACCCACGGGCCGGGTTTACCTAAACCCAAACCCAACCCAACCCGTTGAATAGTGAACGGGTTTAAACCCAAACCCGGCCCAAAACCCGTCAACACGGATTTTACCCGCGTTGACCGGGTTGGGTCGGGTGGGTACCCGTGGGTTCGGGTTTTGTTGCCATCCCTAGACTGGCCAACGTTTCCCAAATTCCTTTGTGCACAGAGTGTTGTCAAAACCAAACAGATATCGATCTAGATTAGTGGGAAGTTCAAAGTTTATCGGAGAATTGTTGTTTATCCGGTATTAAAAATCGGTGATAAACCGGTGCTTTGCTCCAAATAAGAACAAAGTAGTAGAGAGTAAGAATTAAAAAAAAAAAGTAAAAAAGGAAAGAGTAATTGGTTGTAGGGGGAGTGTACATGGGCGCTGGGCCGTGCTTGGGCCGGCACGGCACGGGCACGTTTCGGGCCCATTTATTTCGTGCCGTGCTTGGCACGGCCCGTCAGTTTTCGTGTCGTGCCATGCAAGCCCATTTGTCAACTTTGCTAGGCCCGGCCTAGGCCCGGGCAAGGTTCGAATCGTGTCGTGCCTATTCGTGCTCATGTCATGCTCGTATTCGTGTTTAATGAAAAGGACGAAAACAAAAGAGAGAATGAAAAAGAAGGTAAAAATTGGACGGGGGAAGATAGTATTAACCGATAATGTTTGAGAAAAGTAAAAAATAGGGGGAAAAGAAAATTGGAAGTATAGCGAGTGTGATTTGACTTTGTTTAATTCTTTGTTCTTTTTTACTTATGTTAGTAATTACGTATATATCTTTATGACACTTCTAACAACAACAAATAATTATATTTCTACTTGTGTTTTGTAATATTTGAACCTATAATTCTTTTTATACTTATTTTCTATCAAATAAATATTATATCCGTGCCATGTCCGTTCTTATACTCAATAAAGTCTCGAAAATATTAGGCCCGACACGGCCCACTTATATACTGTGTCGTGCCCCCTACTCGTGCCCATGAAGTTTAGGCCCGGCACGGCCCATAAATTATTCGTGCTCGTGCCGGGCTGGCCCATTTATTTCATGCCCGTGCTCGTGCCGTGTTCTAACCGTGCCGTGCTAGCCGGTGGGCGGCACGACCCGGTGCCATGTACAAGGGGGAGTAGGGGCAGTGTCGGGTCACTTTTTCCATTACCTTCTTACCTTTTTATTAATCCTCCAAACAACATATGGAGTTTCTCCTCCAAGAGCCACTCCATTCTTTTTTTCCAGCCTTCTGCGCAAAGCGTGGAAGGAGTTTTGGGTCATTTTACTTTTTTACTTTTTAATTAAAAAACCAGGCTTCTTCGAGTATTTTCCTGTTTGGGATTGAATATATACCGGACCTAAATCAATTTTTGGTATTTATTTTTTTAAGAGCATTTTCAATAAAAAAATTGCAATGTCCAAGCCCTTCATGGTCGAGCTTTTCTTTTGGGTAGCTTTATGGTCGAGCATTTCTTTCTTTGCAAGAGAAGCCATTGAGTTTAATTAATTTGCATCAAGGTTGTCAAACCAGTTTATACCGTTGTGTTGGTTTAGCAAGTGAACAAGTTCAACCGGTGATACAATTGGTGTGTGCCGGTTCATGTCGGTTTAACAAAATATTTAGAAATGTGAAATTCTATCAACAATAAATGAACTTAATCATATATAAAACATGTTTGAAGTCAATTTACTTGCAATTGATATGGACATTTAAATAAAATGCAACATACCAGCAATAAAATAACGCTATTTCGCTTAGAGATCGTAAATCAATCATCTCGATCATGCAGGTGGTGTTCACGAAGATTTCATGATCGGTACTGATTGATTCAACCGGTGGCATGTCAACCGGCGTGACAACCATGAATATGCAATAGAATCACAACAACACATGGTTAGGATGGGTTGTTCATCAAAGAATGACATATGTCTAGGGTTGGCCAAATTAATTTTTATATTATTTGGAATTATCTTTGGCAATTTGACACCTATAAGAAATATTTTTTGTTGAGAATTATCCAAACAACTGAACAGTACTCTAATTCTATCTTAACACATTGATTGTAAGTACATATATTCATATTAGCATGATTATATACATTTTATAATTTAATGTGTGTTTATGCGACAACTGATTCAGAGATAAACATAGTTGTTTTATATCATCGAAAGGTGCGGTTGATTCTACTCAGTTCCTATTTGAAGCGCAAGTAAGCTTTCCGATGGTAAGAACAAAGTGGAGGCGTTAGGTTGGAGGCAAGAGGGGTTATAACAACCCCCAACCCCCCAAAAAATTGAAATATAAATAAAATTACATAAATTTGTAACAAATTTAGCTAATAAAGTAAATTGCGATTTTCAAGTGATAGAGTAAAATTATAACATATTTAACAAATTTACCTATGGTTACGATTTCAAGCTCATATAATGCCAGTGATAGGCTGATAGAGAAAGAAAGTAAATTGCGGAAATTATTCATAAATTGGACGAGGTAAAATCTACTTTAGCGAAAATGGTGCTTTATATTTAAGAATATCTTACAAATATTTTTTTTTTTAGTTTTATCAAATGCAGGAGAAGAAAGAAGAGATCATTGGAATACAATAGAATAAGGAAGAGACAATTGATAATTGATATGGAGGTGACACTAATGGAGACGAAGGCGTTGTTATTGATGGAGATGATGATCTGCTCATGGCAGAGGAAACCAAACAAAGCCAAGAAAATATGCAGTAATTTCTATCAAAGAGAAGTAAATATAAATGTCATTTGAACAAGTTTTTAGGAGTTGGTTCCTTGGTTCGAGGTCTATCGTTTATGCTAAGGATTTTAGCTAATGAACCGGTTAGGGTGTTAGAAAAATACTATGGTGTTAATCCTTTTAAATATTATCAATTACTAAATAATTTGGATTCTCTTATGCTACCAAATAAAATTGTATTTTGCTTAACTATTGCTACTCAATATTTTGCGATATGCAAAATGAATTCGACCAACTGAACAGGTCCATATTACTACGAACATATTGCTATTGTTGTTTATACCATTTATAAAATGCATCCGGCCAATGGGCCGGGTTCAAATCTAGTTACTGATTGAAAAAAGCAAAAGAATGGCAGGTGTATAATGTTCCCAGCCAGCCCGATTGTATGCTTCTGGAGCCGACCTTGTGCCCGGCATCGGTTTTTATCGGTTTGACCAACACACTGCAGAGTTTGCAGCAAATCGACTAATCGAGCTTTTCCTCAACCTCTCAGCACAGCATGGCTCAAAAGAAACTTTGACTATTGAAGGCGGTGCGAGTTAACTGAAATGGCCTATCAATTGAATACTCCTTGAGATATCAGAAAGTGAGTGATTCAAGTAATACAAAAAATTTTGCTACCTTCTTACTTGTAAACTAGCACAAGTATACCCTAAATTTATATTGCAACATAACGTTGACTATTTTCCAAGGTCGTATTCCACAGAGGATGGAGAGATTATGTCTACTTAAAGGATTAAATTATTATCTAATCTAACAATTGATGAAGTTATCAACTAACTTACAATTGCTATAAAACTAATATCAAAAGAGAGAAAGACAGAGCCAAGAGTACTTGGGAAAGTTGCCTCCATAACCTAACTCATCCTAACACTACTATATGGAGGTTCTTGACCGGAACCCCATAATCTCACTTTTCCTGCTCTGTGCGCAGTCCACGGAGGGAGAATTTGGTAAATTCTCTTTATTGACTGCTTAATGGGCCATACTTGGGCCTTTTATACGAATCGAGCTCGAGAAACGAAGGAAGGAAGTCCCAACACTACTATATGAATGAGGGGTTTTTACTGTTAGCATATTAGAACCTTGGGGCTGCGGATTAACTTGTGATGTTAGAGTGATTAGTGTTAAGCCCATTCATTAATTAAGGCCCATGCCCATGCACGGTTTTGGACGCGTCACTGTTGTTCCTAAACCTAGGGCGTTGATATATAAGGGTTAGGAGAGTTCAGCCGGCTGTAACATGTATCATCTGATCATCTCAGTAAAATCAGTAGCCTGAAGAGCATTCCAAGCTCTTCCGTGGATTAGTCCTGGATCATATCCAGGGATACCACGTAAACTCCGGTGTTCGTATTGTTTGATTTTTCATATCGTATAAGTCTGTTTCCGTATTCGTTAACATGGTATCAGAGCCTTCTGTGACCGTGAGGTCTTCTGTTCGAATCCCGGTGACCCCCATCTATTTTCGTTTCTGTTAAGCACACGGTGTCCGGACCTGTGCCTGT